GAGACGCGCAGAGGCGCGGGGCGGGCGACCGGCGGGTGGAACGCGGATCGCAAGGAAGGTTCCGCAGCACTCGGCCGCAGCAGCCCCTCAGCTGGCGCTTTGTGGGTAACGAGTGCACCGGGAACCGCGCCGGCCTAGACGCGCCGCACGCTCGCGCTGCCCGCCCGCCGCGGCCAGAGCGCCCTCTGCCGGCCCCAGCGCCCAGCGCCGCCCGGAGTGGCCTGTGTCCCTCCTGCTAATCCGCTTCGGGCGGAGAGGTTACCTGTTTGGAGTCCACGTGCGTTCTGTTTTCTCACATACCCTAGAGAAGGTTCCATAGATTGTAGTTCAGGGTCCAACTGCAAATCAGGGCTTATTCTGGGGAGTGATTTTATTTGTGAAGGCCCAATTTAGCAGGCACTGCCAGAAAGGAAACGCTTATGCTGGAGCCCCCCTTTATCCGTCCCCCCCATCCCCACTTAGAAACCAGAGAATGGGTAGGTGCCAGAGTGAGGTGGAAGATAGGGCCGAAGGGCACAATTACGTGATGAAGGAGAAATGTATCACCTGCAGACATTACAGATGTGGCTGTCAAGGTGAAGCGGTCACATCCCACTTGGTCTTGAAAACAAATAATACTCCAGTCTCCCTCACCTCGGATTATTGCCTTTCTGGGACCTGGTCTGGAAAGTGAAATTCTAGGACAGCAGAGATCAAGCTTGAGGTTATGGTTTGCTGGGTCTGAGATAAAGGATAGGCGAGAACAAAGTATTATCTGTGGAGGTTATGAGTTGCAGATCAACAAAGTGTTATAGTAACATAACCACATAACCCTGGTTTTCCATCACAGTCTTCCATTTCAAATATGCATGAATCAAACCTTACCAAACCTGTATTTCAACAAAGGAATCAAGTTAATGCCCCCAAACAGTATCTATAAATGACAGAAGTATGGGAACTATCCTGTTGGGGCAACTATTCTTGAGCATACATATTTATGTTATTTTTAGACTGTAGCTACATATGCAATATGACATATTCAGTGTGTCTACCTAAATATACAGTTTGTTGAAATGGTGAATGTTTGAGCATTAAAATTGCTATTCTCTGTATCAGATTATGACTGGGTCACAAGAAAAAAAAGTCTGAATTTTATTTTGAAGTTGTATAAACTTATTTAAAATGTAGTAGTTAAAAATTGAAAGTTTTTGCCAGGCGCAGTGGCTCATGCCTGTAATCCCAGCACTTTGGAAGGCGGAGGCAAGAGGATCACCTGAGCTCAGGGGCTCAAGACTAGCCTGAGCAACATGCGAGACCTTGTCTCTACAATAAATCAAAAAATCAGCTGGGCATGGTGGCACATACCTGTGGTTCCAGCTACTTGGAAGGCTGAGGCGGAAGGATTACCTGAGCCCAGCCCAGGTCAAGGCTGCAGTGACTGTGAGCGTGCCACTGCACTCCAGCCTGGGCAATGGAGTGAGACTCCAACACACACAAAAAAGAAAAATTAAAGTTTGACTTTATAAGGCAAGAACAGTAATTTCTCAGCCCCGCCAACCATTAGTTACTCCTATGGCCATGTAACAGGGACATATGCATCACTAAATAGGACACTTTCTCCTGAACTCCATGGAACAGCTCAGTATAATATGGTAATATTACCACCATCTTATTAAATGTTGCTTCCTTTAATAGGAACCTATTAAGGTAAGACTTTCCTCCTATTCAATTCTTGGTCCTAAAGATTTTTTGGATAGTGATGGCATTTCATTAAGCAATTTTACTGACTGAAGTTTTATGTTCTGTTTAAAGATGTACAATATTTTCAGAAGCAAACTTTAAGATTGCTGTACTGGCATATTTTCTAATATTTTTTTGCCTGCTCTTGTTGCTATACACAATCACCAGGGAATTAAAAAAAAAAAACTGTCCTTAAAATTCGGATCTAGAAGTATGACAGTGGAACAATTTGATTAGTTTTTGTGTTAACAAAATAATTGCAATTTCTATCTGCATCTTGGCTGTCCTTGCATGCACACCATGTCAGTATCTTCCCTGGAGTAGAATCAAAGGAAGATCTTTTCAGCATGCATCATGTAAAAAAATACTCTCAAGGGCCATCAATTTGTTCAGCAAATTCTGACAAACTGCTTTCTCTGCAAGCAACTGTTGGTTATTAGTAAATCTTGCTACAT